ATTGTGTATCCTATTCCATATATTCAGTGTCTTCTGCTTACATCTGGGATAAAAAAAACTTGTGACACAGTCTGCAAGTGATTGTAATCTCCAGCGCCACATTGAATGTAATTCCAACTGGTTAGTAAGATGGAAAGTAAATTGTGGGAATATAAAATATTTTTAAAAAAAGTCCATGAAATGTTCCAAATTTTTGCTGATCAGAAATCAATTTATCATATATTTAACTTTTTGCACTTGAAAACATCGTAGAACAGAATAGTGATTAAAAAATGAGGCCTGCAGCTAATACAGGAGCAAAAAATGGGGCCAAGAAATTATTTTTTTGTATTATTTGAAAGATGGGACCAAATATCAAGGGGTCATTTCAGGTTAATCAAAAATATTTTAATCAGAAAATGATCAACGAAAGTTTCAAGCAGTAAAATCCAATAATATTTTGCCATCATCAGAAGGTGTAGCCAAGTTCTTGTTTTGGTTGTTTTGCTGTGTCAACATTAAAACGATTACATTACCCAGCGTGATGTAATACAACCTATACATGACAAAAGTCATAAGACTATTATAGTCATACTGTTTGACTTAAGACTGGTTTAAATACCTTATCACTTCATAAATACCATAGACAGCTACCATAATGAGTATACATGTATGTCTTGATAGTGAATGAACTGTAGGGTGATGAATGTGATAGTACATGTTTAATTGATAACACTTTGTTTATATACTTACTTTGTTTATATAATGGATTTCTAATTGATAGAATAATACTATAGTTTTATTGTTTTGGATACCAATAAATTGATACTGGCTTCATAATGGATGAACTGGAGTTTATGTATTTGACTGGGCTAGGTAGATTTTTAAAACTTTCAATCTGTATGAAATTTGATGTTATATAATTTGATATACTAGTGATTTAAAACTAAAGAATTATGTTCATAGAAAATACAAAATCTGACACTTGTTGAATTCTTAATTGACTGGCAGCAAATTAATCTACCCAATTAAGCAACCATTTGGCAGACATAGTTCAGTGGACACACCAGATTTCATACAGAATTCAACAAATGTGTAATCCCTTTACTTTTCAAACAGTACTTAAAGCCACTAATGATACTTTAGCATCAGTTACAAATTTGATGAATAGTCTATATATTTTTGAATCCAGGACAATTTTGCCCGGCATATAAAACTTGCACCCCCAGTCTAAAATGCATCATCAGACAAGTGAAGCCTAGTGAAAATGTAAAGGTTTGACACTTGCCCTCCCATTGCAAGAAATTTGCTAAATCACAGTTAAATGCAGTGTTAAGTTTGTGTTTCAATAATAAATGCATGTATTAGAAATAAATGCATTAGCATAAGACAGTGCATTTGATACACAATTAGCAAATATCCAAGTTGGGAGTGGGAGGGAAGTCACTAGTCCACCTTTTCTTTTCCACAGGTGGGGGTGGGTGGGGGTGGTTAATATTATTGTATACCTAATACAACATAGAAACATCCAAAAACTAATAACACAATAATTACATGTTTGTTTTTATGCAAGTAAGTTACTCTATAACTTTGAACTGTGTAAGGAAAAATATTTAATTATCTAAAATGTGTATGTATAATATTTAATGACATTATCTAGTACCTTAGATAATTTCCTCTTGATAATAAAATGGTATCATGATCCATGTACTTTAGTTTACAGTTTTACTATTAAGATAATTGTTATAATCTGCTAATCTTAAGATACTAAAGAGCTGCATGTCTCCAGATTCATGCAAATTCTAAAAAATATTAAGTTTTTGTAAAATGTGTTTAGAATTAAATAATTAATTGTGAAGGGAACAGCAAAAGTAATATACACATTGCAATAGGCACTTACAATTCAAGCAAATTACGAAAAAGAAAGCAAAAATAGGCAAAATTAGCCATTACTGTGTTTAAGTCACGCAGTAGAAATGCTGTGATAAATACTGAAAAATCAAACATGAATGTTATTAATCAGTTAATATAGCATGCTGTAAAGTACATGATTTACAGCATTATTTATGTATGTGTGTACTGTGATTGAATTATGTACCTTTAAAACTGTGTAATATTATCAAAGACTGGTTTATGTAATAAAGTGATGTGACTTTTAATTATTTTGTGAAATCATGCAAAGAAAAAAACAACACAACAACACAAGCTTTAATTACACCTAAATTGAACTTTAAATAATGTTTAACACTTTTGAGGATCAATAAGAATTATGATTGTTTACCGTTAAGGCTGCAATTTAAAAGAGAATAATTTGAAGAAAAGATGGTTTATGCTATGGCTTGTTACTTTTATGTTTAATATAATATATATCCTTGACAAGGTATCACATAGGTCATGTTAAAATCAATGTCTCATAATTATGCAATGCCAAGGTGACAGGTCATATTGAAATTATTGTCTCATAAATACAATGCCAAAGTGACACACAGGTCATATTGAAATTATTGTCTCATAAATACAATGCCAAAGTGACACATAGGTCATGTTGAAATCAGTGTCTCATAAATACAATGCCAAGGTGACACATAGGTCTTGTTGAAATCATTGTCTCATAAATTCAATGCCAAGGTGACATATAAGTCAAGTTGAAATCATTGTCTCATAAATTCAATGCCAAGGTGTCAAATATGTCATGTTTAAATCAGTGTCTCATAGATTCAATGCCAAGCTGACACATAGGTAATGTTAAAATCAGTGTCTCATAGATTCAATGCCAAGGTGACACATAGGTCATGTTAAAATCAGTGTCTCATAGATTCAATGTCAAGGTGACACATAGGTCTTGTTAAAATCAGTGTCTCATAAATTCAATGCCAAGGTGACACATAGGTCTTGTTGAAATCATTTTCTCATAAATACAATGCCAAGGTGACACATAAGTCAAGTTGAAATCAGTGTCTCATAAATACAATGCCAAGGTGTCAAATATGTCATGTTAAAATCAGGGTCTCATCGATTCAATGCCAAGGTGACACATAGGTCATGTAAAAGTCAGAGTTTCATAAATTCAATGCCAAAGTCAGTGACCTATGCATGTCATTGTTTCATAACTTAAATGCCAAGGTGTCACATAGGTCTTGTTAAAATCAGTGTTTCATTAATTCAGTACCAAAGTGACTCATAGGTCATGTTAAAATCAGTGCCTTATTAATACAATGCCAAGGTTTCACATAGATCTTGTTAAAATCAATGTTTCATCAATTCAATGACAAGGTTTCACATAGGTCATGTAAAAATCAGAGATTCACAAATTCAATGCCAAGGTCAGTGACCTATGCATGTCAATGACAAGGTGCATGACACAAAGATCTTGTTAAAAATTAGTGTCTCATAAATTCAATGCCAAGGTGACACATAGGTCTTGTTAAAATCAGTGTTTCATAAATTCAATGCCAAGGTGTCACATAGGTCATGTAAAAATCAGAGTTTCATAAATTCAATGCCAAGGTCAGTGGCCTATGCATGTCATTGTTTCATAACTTTAATGCCAAGGTGTCACATAGGTCTTGTTAAAATCGGATTTCATTAATTCAATGCCAAAGTGACACATAGGTCATGTTAAAATCAGTGCCTTCTTAATACAATGCCAAGGTGTCACTCACATAGGACATGTTAAAATCAATGTTTCATAAATTCAATGCCAAGGTGAGTGGCCTATGCATGTCTTGTTAGGTGCCCATGCATATAATTTTAAAATCAGTATCTTAAAAATTCAATGCCAAAGTGATATGTGCAGGTCATATTTAATTCACTGTCTTAAAAATTTAATGCCAAGGTCAGTGGGCCTATGAATTTCATGATAAAATCACTGTGACACATGAAAGTCAAGCCTATAAAAATGTCTCATAAATCCAATGACAAGGTCATCAATGAATTCTTAAGGTCATATTTCAGCAGTATCCAACAATTGTAACAGTTTCCAGTTGCTACAGTTCAAATAAAATCTTCAAATCTTGTACTTTATTAACTAGAAAATCCAAGTTATGTAAACAAACTTGATGACAAAACTTCCTTATAATTGTAGTAATCATATTGACTTTGCCCTTGAAGAGATGTTTGTTTTGAGGTCAGTAGTTTAAGTGGATTTCTTGTTTTATCTATACAGATGGTTATTTTTCTATAATAATCATTATAAATCTAATATCAGGAGTTAGTTAATCTAGGTTTAATTTAGATATCAATTTCTAATATTGGGAGTTAATCTGAGGATATACAGAATTTGTCAATGATCAATTGGATAATATATGTTTGTGCTTAGTCAATGTCAAAAACAATGTGATAATTTACTTAAAGATCTTGTATGTTGTATTTATGGTCCTAACAACAGTGAAATTTTAAATACTTGAAACATAAATTCGGTAATATCTTTACAAATTATGCTGTTTTGAACTCACAATATTAATAAATCTTCACTTGAGCATCAGATTTATGTTAAAAAACCATAAAAAAATTGAGTTAAAGGGTCTTTAAAGTGAAAAAAGGATAATTATGACTGAAATGTTGATATGATAATTGTTGGATAATTGTTGAATTATTAAGCTGCTATACTGGCTGATAAAATGACATTTACTAAGGCATTTGTGAGACTGCCTCCTTGTGAATAGATGCTGATGTGAGGAAATGTCACATTTCATGGCTTTTGAAGTTAATTCTCTAAATAATAACTTAGTTGCTATAGTAACAGACAATGACACTTGTTGTGAAAAAGATTTATAATAGTTCCATAGTGCTAATATTGCATACTTTCACTAATGCATGTATTGAATATTTTCCAAGGTATATAGATGTGTTATATAAAGACGACTGTTGAAAAGCAATATATATGTAAGAAACAGCCAAGCAACTTTTTTTTTCATCACTTTAACCCTAATACTTGGCTAAAAAAATTTCAGCTAAGAGTTTAAGAAACTTGGATGACTATAATTTAAAAAAAAATTACATTTTTCTTTGTTTATTTTCAGAATCTCCAGTAAATTCATCCAAGTCTGTGTTTTATGTTGACGAAGCACCAGTCATGGTAACCACGGCAACAGAAGAAGACAACAATGAAACAACCGCGGGACAAGAGAAGAAAAAGAAGCATCAACCTGAGGGCACCGTGGAATATACGGTAATGTTACAACAAACAATGAAAAACATTGGGTATTACCTTCCAACTTTTAGAGTTATCTGCCCTTAAAAACAAACTTTCAGGAGCGGATAACTCTAAAAGAGAGAGGGTGAAGATAGTGGTATTGGTAGTTTCTACTCCGGATCAAAGCATTAAGCCACATTGAATTTACCAGAGCACTTTTCAATCACTGCTTTGTTCCTGGGAAGGCTGTCATGCAGTTTACCAGTACTAGTTGCCTTCACTTTCACAAGGAACTGAAACTTCTGTACATACCAGAGCAGAGGTACAGTGCGAATAACCGTAGAAAAGATTTCATGATCAATCACAACAAAAGTAACCTGCTTTATCTGGGAATCGAACACAGGTCACCGGATTCACTGTCCAACACTCTACCTATTGAGCTAACTGGACGGCAGGAGGGTGAAGGTTCTGCCCCTGAGTGTCTTTTTAAGGGCAGATAACTCATAAAACAAGGTTGCTGACCATCTATTTTTCCACTTTAAATGTTTCTGTTATCTTATTCCAAAATCATGCAAAGGGGTTTTATGCAGTTTTCATTCTGCTACAATCATGTTATATGTAACGCTGTAGCATACAAGTACATGTACACCTTTAAATATGAGAAAAATGTAGTATATTAAGATTAAATTGTTGTTTAAAATTTTGTAGAGAGGTAATAGTAATATCATTATAAAGAATGAATTATAAGAAAGGTATATTTTTAAAGGAAGGTAATTTGAGTAAACTAGAAAAGTGTCTATAGGCCATAGACTAACAAAACAGCAGGACAGGAGTGACAGCTGAGGATGGATGTTAAAGTAGTGGTAATGCTGATTCTAGCTATAGAAATGCCTCCATTTACATGTAACTATGTAGGGAAAAAAAAAGCCTGAATTTTCACTGTCGCATCAATAATGTCATCAAACATTCTAGATATAATATTCTAGAACTACAAATAGAAAATAGCGGAACCAAGACAAAGGTCTGGAATGACATTGCTGATAAAAACAATCTACCAGACATCATGTTTAGCTGTTTGTTTTCAAAGAAAAAGTCAATCTTTTTTTTATCACCGTGTCAAATTTTTATTTGTTGTGCAAATCCTTGAATGTAGCACAAAGTTTAACATTTTAAAATTAATCAACATTAAACCTTGAATACTTGCTTATCATAACAAGAGCACTGCATGTGGTTTTAATGCGCATCTGTGAAAGATTTTAAGTTAAAAGGGGCATAACTCCAAAAATATTGCTTTCAAAATTATGCCCCTTGTTATAATATAAGTTCAAGTTGTTATACAAGGGGTATAATTTTGCAAGCAATATTTTTTGGAGTTATACCCCTTTTATAACTGGTGTGCATTAACACTGCATATGGTGGTCTTGTTAGTCTTTAATGAGTCTTTAATAACATATAGAGATGAACTTATTTTGTAATGTCTGGTTTCTATTATTCTATTACAACAGGTTCAAGATCGTGACACGCTTGAGAAAATAGCGGCACATTTTGACACCACACCGTCAGAGCTGAAAAAACTCAATAAACTCATATCTGCTATGATATTTGCTGGACAAGTAAGTGAACAAAATTGTTCTTTAGTTCTTAATTGGCCCCTCTCTGCTGTACGTCTGAATTCCGTCAGTTACTTTGGATTCTTTCATGTGACGAAGCTATCCAGTGGTTCTACTCAGGTGCCTGGTTGTTTGTAATTCTGACCCTTGGCTATAATTTTTCAAAAATTGATCTTAATTTCTATTTGCCCAGTTTGAAATGCAGTGTACTTTTGTACTAAAATTGTAGCTTTCCAGTGTTTTGAAGTAGCACCTTTTTAGCTCACCTGTCACAAAGTGACAGGGTGAGCTTTTGTGATCACTTCGTCCGGCGTCCGTCCGTCCGTAAACTTTTACTTTAAATGACATCTCCTCATAAACCACTAAGCCAATTTCATCCAAACTTCACAGGAATGTTCCTTTGGTGGTCACCTTTAAAAATTGTTCAAAGAATTTAATTCCATGCAGAAATCTGGTTGCCATGGCAACCGAAAGAAAAAACTTTTAATATCTTCTTTTAAAAAATCCTAAGAGCTAGAGCTTAGATATTTGGCATGAACCATGTTCTAGTGAGTGTCTACCAAGTTTGTTCAAATAAAATCCCTGGGGTCAAAATTGGCCCCGCCCCAGGGGGTCATTGATTTTCCCTATATGCATATAGTAAAAACTTAAAAAATCCTCTTTTAAAGAACCCAAAGAGCTAGAGCTAAGATATTCAGCATGAAACATGTTCTAATGAGTGTCTACCAAGTTTGTTCAAGGTCAAAATTGGCCCCGCCCCAGGGGGTCATTGACTTTCCCTATATGCATATAGTAAAATCTTAAAAAATCTTCTTTTAAAGAACTCAAAGAGCTAGAGCTAAGATATTAAGCATGAAACATGTTCTAATGGGTGTCTACCAAGTTTGTTCAAATAAAAGCCCTGGGGTCAAAATTGGCCCGCCCGGGGGTCTTTGATTTTCCTTATATGTGTATAGCAAAAACTTAAAAATTTTCTTTTAAAAAACCCAATGAGCTAGAGCTTAGATGTTTAGCATGAAATATCTTCTAGTGAGTGTCTACAAAGTTTGTTCAAATAAAAGCCCTGGGGTCAAATTGGCCTGGCCCGGGGGTCATTGATTTTCCCTATATGCATATAGTAAAAACTTAAAAAATCTTCTTTGAAAAAACCCTAAAAGCAAGAGTTTAGATATTAAGCATGAAACATCTTCTAGTAAGTGTCTACAAAGTTTGTTCAAATAAAAGCCCTGGGGACAAAACTGGCCCTGCCCCAGGGGTGTCAATATTTTTAACTATATGTGTATAGTAAAAACTTAAAAATCGTCTTTTAAAAAACCCAATGAGCTAGAGCTTAGATGTTTAGCATGAAATATCTTCTTATGGATGTCTACCAAGTTTGTTCAAATAAAAGCCCTCGGGTGAAAATTGGCCCTGGGAGGGGAGATCATTGTTTTCATTATATGTGTGTAGTAAAAACTTAACATTGTGAAACATCTTATGAGTGTCTTCCAAGTTTGTTCAAATAAAAGTCCTGGGGTTTAAACTGGCCCCGCTCCGGGGCCCTATATACAGGTGAGCGACCTCAGGGCCATCATGGCCCTCTTGTTTTTTGTACCAAGTACTATCGTATTAAGAAGAATTTTGGTCTTTCCTTCTTTTCTGACAATGTACTAGTATATACAATCTAGATTTTTATTTTCTCAATATATAATTTGGTAAGTTTTTCTAAATGTTTTAAGTAGCAGTTCCCGAATAGTATGAAATTTTTTCCCCACAGGTTCTTTATATACCAGATAAAGAATATGTTCCTAGAAAATCCACGTCATCTGTGTCTTCAGAAGATTCCAGCTCTCAACACCAGGGGGATTCTGTGTTTGGTAGTCCCCAGGACAAACCTAAGATGGTATATTGTTTATACAGAATTTAGTTCAGTTTATGTAGGAAGCTATAAGCTTAAATATACGCTGTAAGACCCATTTCTGAAACTATCCAGTACTGAGCAATGAGTGTAAAGTTTCTTGCTCAAGAAAACAAAAAAATGCCTCTGACAGGGTTTGAACCCGCAGCTATCAATCCTTTGAACATTAGACTGACACTTTTACCACTAAGCAATGGTATTTGACTTATGTGAAGAAGCTATCCATCTTGTTTACAGAATGTTGGTGGTTCTACTCAGGTGTTACCTTGTGTCTCGTAATATTGCATGTGTGGATGCCTGAATGAAAAGTGAATGTATTACACTAATGTTATTAAAACATTTAAATAGTTTTTAGAGTAATCTGTATATTAGACGACATTTTAATCAGGATATTGAGTGTCCTGTTAAAATTCGAGAAAATAGAATAAACCGTGCACAAAATTAATTTTGACCTTGAACTATTACCTTTTGAACTATATTTTGATTTATGTTTATTGTAAAACTTATCAAAATCACTTTTATTAGGATGTACCTCTAGTCCGATCTGGCAACAACTCCCCGTCGAAGGTACCGGGACATGTCGAGCGACAGCCAGCTTCACCGACTGCCTTCGACTTTGAAGTCGTAGCCCCGCACAAACTGTCCGAGGACGAAGTACAACAGTTAGACCAGGACTGTATGGAGAGATTTATAAAACTCAAAGTGAAACATATAACAGATGGGCAGGTTAGCTTTAAAACATCATTTATATTAGATCTTGTATATTTTAATATCATGTTTAATGTTGTGGCTTTGTTTATATAACATTAAATTTTGTAATCAGAATTTTTATGTTAACTAATTTAGGTCCCTATTTTTCTATACTCAAGAGAAATTTGATCGTTTTGCTTCACAACAGAATTTTTTCACTTATGTTAAAAGTGTGGGTCATCGAAAGCTCTTAGCACTGAAACAAGTTCATATATTTTTTGCTTATCTTAAAAGTGTGGGTTATCAAAAGGTCTTAGACTGATACAAGTTCATAGAAAATCGTAATATTTAGCTTGGCTATTTGATGAAGAGGTAGTTGTACTCATCAAGGCGTCGGCATCGCATTTTGGTTAAGTTTTCACGTGCAAGTTAAATAGTAGGAAAAAATTGACTGTAATATCTGCCTAAATAAACATAGATCTAGCTTTTATATATGAATGGCTTTTCCATACATTATATGAGAAACCTTCATCAATAAGATAAGCTACAGAAAGGGAAATTTGTCTATTTCTAGTTTTCCAACCATTCAAAAGTGACTCCTGGCCTTAACTGTTAACCTGCTGATTGCCGTTTGCCACCAGTATAGAGCCAGTCTGACCAGGCACTCTATACTACATTGTCAGTTACCCACTGTATACTACATTATAATGCACGGAATTTATACCATGTTTAACTGAAGATGACTATACTGTTGGGGTAGCTCAATTATTATACTTTGCTATTGACATCTTTTGTATTTTGAATATATATTTCTAAATTCAAGGCAGAGCAAATTCCATGAATTACTGAATTTGAAAATTTATAGGTCACCTCTTGGTAGATTATAACTTTTAAAAACTTGAATGGTGACCTGTCCAGGGTCCGCACTCAGTGCCTGAAAGGGCAAATGTGGACCCTTATTAAGCCTTACAATACATACATATCATCACCTTAGTGCAGTAATGGGTAAGGTCATAAATTTCATAGGAGTTAACCAGTTATTGCACTTAGGTGGCCATATATTCATATATACAAACATGCATATTCATTATTCAAATTCAGCAGGTTAAAGGTTAAACAGGGTTCACGGTTGACTGCAAAACTGTAGTAACTTAATATAACTTGAACAGCCAACCCTCAATTTTATCGAATTTATTTAGACCTGCAACGGAATTGATATGAGCCGTGTCATGACAAAACCAACATAGTGGGTTTGCGACCAGCATGGATCCAGACCAGCCTGCGCATCCGCACAGTCTGATCAAGATCCATGCTGTCCGCTATCAGTTTCTCTACTTGTAATATGGTTTGTAAGCAAACAGCATGGATCCTGATCAGACTGCGCGGGTGCGCAGGCTGGTCTGGATCCATGCTGGTCGCAAAGTTAACGCACTATGTTGGTTTTGTCATGGTGCGGCTCATATAACTGTTATTTTTGCTATGTTCAGATTTATTTCTTGGAGGAAAATTAGAAATATACAATTTCCCTTTTAAAGGCTGTAATGCTTTAATGTGAATGGAGAATGATTCCTATATATGATATATTTGTATTAACTTTGCCTTTTTGTTTTCCTTTATACCATAATAGATGTATAAGACTGACCCAAAGCAGGTAAATATCTTAATATAATGCTTGACCATAATCCTTTTTACTGGGATTAAATGATTTTGAAGGGTCTTTAGTTGTGATATGGAATATATTTCACTGTTCGAAGAGTAACTTTAAAAAGTTGAAAAGATGTTCAGATTCTGTACAGTGAAATATATTCAATGGTCATGGGGGAAAAAAACTAACAAAAAATGGAAAGCATTTATATCCCACAAGGAATGATATGAAATATATCTCATAAGTAAATCCAGCGATTCATTTTAATATCTGAAATATTAGCATTGTTACAGGTTCTTGTTAATTCATTTGTTGCATTCATAAAGTAAAAAATGAGAGAACAATTTCTTTTTGCATGAGTTCATCTACTAATATACAGTAGATAAGAAAATTAGAAGTATTTGAATAATTTTTAGAGCATTATCTAGAATTAAAAAGATGCTTTTTTGTGTGTATTTTGTTCATAAGTTCAGCAGTTGCCCCCCTTGAAATAGAGTTGTCTCCCTTTGAACAAATCCTATGAGTAATATGATGTGTTTTAAGATTTTAATCATAAAAGTATCTGCTAACTGTATTTTAGGCTAGAAAACTATTTACCAGTGAATGATGTTAGATTCTTATAGAGAAAATATCCTCTGTTTTGCATGTTGATTCATAATAGAAACGCACATTATTCTTTATCAAGAAGTTCTTTTTTTTCTGAGAGTGTCAATAGTCTTGTTTGGAGTGTAAGAGTCAGTGATATGCAGAGACTAATACCAGTTAATGTTAAAATTGGTCTCCCAAGGAATTGCTGTAACATTGTATTGTATTTGACTATGTATACATGTAGCTAACCCAAGGCATGTTTAATGGATTTGCTCAGTTTTGAATTTGGAAGGATCCATCTGAAGTTTTAAGTGATTTTGATGTGCAAAAATTAAGTTACTCTCTCTTATGTCGAGAGTAAATCAATTATTCTCTAATCTACTATAGCAAGAAACAACAACAAATACATAGGAATAACGCTTAATATTTGGTAGTACATATTACAAATCAATAGAATCAATCGGTATTTATCTGTATCTGTTATGTTCTTGTATTTGGGATTCATCAAATGTATAGCATTGTTGCTGTATCCGAAACTCTGAAACGAAACTAAAAACAGATCTGAATACGCGGTTACAAAATATTACAAAACAGAATAATATTGTGTAATCTGTAAAATAATAAATAAAGTTATGCTCATTAAAACAAAGAAAAAGCATTAAATTATGCAACTTTAATAAGTATATTTCAAGAAAAATATTTTGTGTGTGTCATGTGAAGAATAATGAAAAAAGCCTAAATATTCAGCAAGAATGTGTATTAAAATACTTCATTACAAAAACGTTTGTTGTAAGAAGGGATGGGGCGGGTTGGGCGTATTTAAACAGGTTATTTATGTACCACCAAATGCAAGCGTCGAGTGAAGAAAATCCGCGAAAAGACTATATATATACCCCACTAACCCACGAAATACACGTGCACCGTTAAAAGAAAATATTTAAGGTATCACTCCATATTTAACTTAAGGTACAGAAACCATACATAAACACTCATTCAAGCTATATCCGATACGAGAATAATTTCATCTTTGCTGGTTCAGAATATGTACTGGTGGCAAATTTTGCTTCTTGTTATAACAGGCTAAAGGCTTATGTGATTTTATAAGGTAAGAAGTCCTTGGGGTAAAAGAAACATAAGAAAATAGTTTTTGGCCTATCATGACTTATATAGTAGAATATAATAATGTGAATAACTAAATATTCTAAAACATGATTTAATGTTTGAAATAATTTTTGTGTCCAATAGGATTGCAGTATTTTAAATAAATCATAACACATTTACTTTGGTAAATCAGCAAATTGTAAATCAGTCTAGTAAATCGACTGTTTATAAAAATAATTTAAAAACTAAGCTGGTTAAAATTTATTAGTACAGTACGTATTAACAAAATTAAATTGTAGAATTTAAATTCTAGATTAAAAAGTAAACTTTAGAAAAGCAAATAGTAGTAAAGAATCTAGGCTGAGTCAAGCTAGAGATGCATGCTGACCTATATCTGTACTTAAGGCTTGACTTTATTGTGACAAGAACAGTGAGTGAGTTGATGAGTAAAGCCTCTATCACATCAGCCGCACAAAATTTGGTTCTTACGATTTGTTGAGAAATCTGTGCCGTAGAATGGTCGCAGGCAGTTTTGCAATCTATCTTGACAGATATGTAGATTGTAAGGCAGACATACGCTGTTCATACGGCTGCTGCATGGCTCGCAAGATATTTACGCTTGGTAGTAGGACAAAAACAAACAACATTTCGTTCGATCGCCGCAAACTGACTGTGCAACAGATTAGCGATTGTTAAGACAATCGTAAGGCAATGGTACAAAGTTGAAAAAAAATCGCATGGGCACCACACGCCCAACATGAATTCGCAAGGCTGCCGCACGGTTGCCATACGATGTATGTATGTTCATCGTACCAATTAGAAAGTGAGGATTGAATGCAACAACATGATTAGAATGCCCTGTATAGTTTCAATCAAGGTTGCATTTGAGTATTCTAAGACGGAGACCTCGTGAAGAAGTGCGTCATGCAATAGTTCTGGCGTTGCTTATCAGAGGGAAACAAGGCAGGAGAAGACGTGCAATGCGTTGGTGGTGGATAAAACCCTTGCCCCGTGTTCACTAAGAAAAAATCAGGATCATGATAAAATGATCTTGATTTTATTTTCATTGTTTTATGACACTAAAATTGATCATACTTTGCTTGAATTAAATGGTTCTTATTCAAAATGTAAACAATTGCTGATTTGTGAACAAACAAACCTATTTTGGGATAAAATCAACAAATTACAAAAACAAAGTTAGAAATAATCAGATCAAAATAAGGATCAGTTTTAGGATCAAGATCAATATTCGGCTCAACTGCAAAATGTCCATATTTCGCAAAAATAATAATAAATTTATTTTAAAATTTCATAAATATGCCATAAGTCCAATTTTATCAAGTTATTTTTAGACATTTAATCTATGAGGATAAACAATGGAGAATTTTTGATTTTTGTGCCCCTACGTTAGTGGCGGGCATTTAGATTTACCCTTGTCCGTCCGTCCGTCAGTCCGTCCGTCCTTCCGTCCGTTCACTTTTGTGTCGCACGTAACTCAAAAAGTATTTGACCTAGAGTCATGAAACTTTACAGGAATGTTGATCAGCATGTGAAGTTGTGCACCTGGGTATTTTCGTCTGGATATTTTTAGTATTTTCAGAGTTATTGCCCTTGACTTAGTAAAATTTTGCAATTTTCAACTTGTGTCGCATGTAACTCAAAAAGTATTTGACCTAGAGTCATGAAACTTAACCGGAATGTTGATCAGCATATGTAGTTGTGCACCTGGGTATTTTTGTGTGGATATTTTTAGTATTTTCAGAGTTATTACCCTTGACTTAGTAAAATTTTGCAATTTTCAACTTGTGTCGCATGTAACTCAAAAAGTATTTGACCTAGAGTCATGAAACTTTACAGGAATGTTGATCAGCATGTGTAGTTGTGCACCTGGGTATTTTTGTGTGGATATTATTAGTATTTTCAGAGTTATTGCCCTTGACTTAGTAAAATTTTGCAATTTTCAACTTGTGTGGCACGTAACTCAAAAAGTATTTGACTTAGAGTCATGAAACTTTACAGGAATGTTGATCAGCATGTGTAGTTGTGCAGCTGGGTATTTTCGTCTGGATGTTTTTTGTATTTTTAGAGTTATTGCCCTTTACTTAGTAAAATTTTGCAATTTTCAACATGTGTCGCACGTAACTCAAAAAGTATTTGACCTAGAGTCATGAAACTTTATAGGAATGTTGATCAGCATGTGCAGTTGTGCACCAGGTATTTTCGTCTGGATTTATTTAGTATTTTTAGAGCTATTGCCCTTCACTTAGAAAATTTTTGCAATTTTCAACTTGTGTCGCAAGTTACTCAAAAAGGATTTGACATATTCATTAAACCTTACGGGCAGATTGCTCAGCATATTTAGATTTGCACCTGGGGTTTCGCTTGTGGATTTATCCAGTATTTGTAGAGTTATTTCCCTTGACTTAGTAAAAAGATTGACAAAACAGTGGCGCGGTGGGGGCACCCGTGTCCTATGGACACATTTCTAGTTAAAATTTTAAATGATCTTGATCCTGATCCATAATTCTTTATGAACACGGGACCTGGATTGCGTAATGTCGGTTGTTTGGCCAATATCACATCCTCTTCCAAGAGCTGGATAGATAGAGGGTGAAAAGACTCACTGTCTTGCGCCTGACGCACGAAACACAGCGATTTTTGCCAAAATGTGTTTGTACGACTGCAGTAAGGCTGATGAGATAGAGGCTTAAGTGAATGAATGAATGAATGAATGAATGAATGAATGAATGAATGAATGAATGAATGAATGAATGAATGGATGAATGAATGAATGAATGAGTGCAGTGCAGTTCAATGTGGTGGGTGTGGTACAGTGCAAAATCTTACAGGTATACATAGTCAAATAACAAAGATTTGTACAGATTGCTGGTATAGTGGACACTGAGATTTTTAAATATATATTTTTTTTTAGTCTTTCAGTTATTTTAAGTAAAGCACAGATATATTGATTACTGTGATGTAGAGCCAGTTAAAATACTGTTGATATTTCTAGATTTAGCAAACCACACCATGATTTCGTGCCAGGAATTGTGCACAGATTTATAGATTTTTTTTCAGAAATGATCATTCCAATCTTTTTATAATGCTGTTAATCAAGACCAGTATTATCTTCAATTTCTTGCTAGAATAAACAAGATTATCATTTATTCTTTTATATATAATACTCTCCATACAATTATTTTGGTCAGCCGCCGCGGCTCAGTAGGTCGAGCATCAGACCTGTGTCCAAGGGTTTAGGGTTTCGATCCTTTGGCGAGACAATATTTCTCCTTGACAATTTATATAGGGCATTGAGTCTTAAAGTCATTTGTTTATAACTGCTTATTCAGAAATCATGTGGTTTAAGTAGTTTCTGTCATGTGCATATATTGGTAATTACTGGTTAGTTATCCAGGAAAGCTAATAAGGTGGGCTCATTGTTAAGATGTGACCAAAAATGTGTTTAAATCAGTCTTAAAAACAAACAATAAAAGACTAGTTTGAGAACGTTTCTACAGAATACATTACACCATATTCAATCATGTATTTTTGATAATTCTGTATATATCATTTATATGAACATTTTATCTGTATACTATTCGTTATACATAAATGTGTAAAAATAATTATATATATATATATACATATAATTATATAAAATGCCTTTTTATAGTACACATAAATGTTTATAAATATATAAATACTTGTATATACCATGTTATTTGATATTCATATAAAGTTTTTATAGTACTGCAAGCTGGTAACATCAATTTTCATTGGATAATCATGATGTTGTATTTTCTGTAAACACTGCAGAAACAAAATTTATGAAAAAAATTAGAAGTTTACAAAAGCAGTCATGCAGTAGTATGAATTTATTATAAAAACATTTGACAGATAATATTATGGTACTTTATAAATGTTTATTTTCTAACCCATCAAAAATCCTGATAACTTATAATAAAATCATTTGCATATAATATAAACAGTAAATTGTGTCAATTCGCCACTAAATCCAAACCAACATTTTGAACACAGAAATTAATAGTTTGACTTCTGCAGTGTTCAATGACACCAGTGTAATGAATGAATTAAGAAATCAAAATGAATTTGTAAATTTGAATCTTCAATATTTTGATATTTGATATTTGGTCAACTTGACCCATTTTATGATCTCCTAGCTTGTTGATGAGGAAATTGATTTTTTCTTCTTGAATGGTCTAGCACCCTGATATTTATCCATATACAAGTATTTTAGTACATTGTACGCATATATATGTTTGTTGCTAGAGATAAAATTAAATGCACTCTCTTTTCATTCTCAGGTACAGTCATGTACTATCTATATCTAGATTAGTCAGTTTTCTTAGTCATATATGGATTTCTTGTGTATAGCATCTGTTGCGTATATGTGCCCATAAACATTTGTTATTTTACAATGGAATACGGTATTGACCCATTGATACTGGAACATATGTTTGAAATTACATATTGCTATCTTTATAGTTACAACATGTTGTTGTTTGTTCTGTAATTTGACACAGCATGTCTTTCTTTACAGTATAAAATTTTTTTCACATTCTGTTAAGGTTTATATACCAAAAAATAAGACCACTCAACAAAATGGTTAAGGTGTCAGACTTACCAACCCAGGGATCATGGGTTTGAGCTCTACTGGGGTCATCGCCAAATTTCCTCATATGACACCAGTACTGGTTAGTGCCAGGAAGTGGACTTGGTTCAAATCAGCTTCAAGCCTTTTATCATCAGCATGCTTAAATATTTTTTAAACTTATTTAAACTTAGATTATTCAAACACTTTACCTTGCTGCCTGGTGTCTTTGCGATGAGGCATATATTTTCCATTTTGTCCACTATTCTGTCTCCTGTATTTCCATGCTTCCTCCCATCCTTTCATCACACATGCATACGTTAATTCTCACCTATATTTTTGAATGTTCAGTGTGTTAGTACCTTCCATTGACCAGTCATCTCTACCCTTGGGTAAAGTTTGAGGTTCAATAGGTCAAGGTCATGATCTCTGAGGCTAAAAATAGATTTTCCTGCTTTTCTATTATTGTAAGACCATATACATAGATTGTATTTAGCTATGTCAAAGAAGCATTTGTGTAAACAATACTCATTTTAAGTATGATAAAACAAAATTTTTTAAGATATATGAAAATTAAATGAAAAATTAAGTGAAAAATGAACAAAATACATGAGATATCTTCTTAAAGCATCTTACAGTGCTAAAATATTGTTACTGAAACCTTAATACCCTGTCTTCTAAGAATGATATTGCTTTTGAAACGTTAACCTCTTTGTTCTAGAGATCAGCACTTCTTAAGATTGTTCCTTTTATAATTAAGTCAAACTTTACTGTTATTTTCAGGGTGTTGTCAAAGGTACCTTGCTTGTGACCCCTAATGCTGTAATGTTTGATCCTGACGTGTCCGACCCCTTGGTTCTGGAACACGGTGCCGAGAAGTACGGTATGATTGCACCCATGGATATGATCATTAGTGCAGCCATGTATCATGATATTGCTGCCATGAAATTACGGGGAAAAAAACAGTGAGTATATATCTTGATATTCTTACCAAAGGATCTCCAAGCTTGTCTGACTACTTAAGGCTGGCCTGACTACTCTTGTAGATTAAGGCAAAAGTCATTATTTAAAAAAAACTTTAAAAGGGTTGAGTAAATGAACTTGAAATTGAGTTGACAGCATTTATATTGTCATTCGATTTTTTTCTGTCTGTGCAGTTGCTTTCAAGCTGTTGCCTTAAATGCAAAACATCCACCTTTTAATTGTATTAAATTTATTGTGCACCTGAAATATTTTCAAGGTGCGTCCTTGGCTGAATGGTTAAGGGCATTGACTTCAAACTACTTCCCTCTCAACTCTGTATGTTCAATCCGTGTCTTCAAATTCTTTCATGTGAGAAAGCTGTCCAGCTAGCTTACAGAACGTCTGTGGTTCTACTCAGGTGCCCGATGTGCCTGAAATAAGGCACAACAAAGGTGCACCTTAGGTCTTTCTTAACCAGTAAAGCTGGAAAGTTGCCCTATGATCTATACTGTGCTATGTAAAATACTTAAAAAAAAAATCATGAATAACAAGCAGCATTACACAATCTCCTTTGACAGTTGCTCAGGTACTTATGACAGGCTGAATATTTTTGGTGGTTACTTTCAAAATATTGTTTGCTAATAATCTAAACAAAATGCTATTTGAATATATAAACTTCTCTCACTGTTGCTCTCATGTATTTCATATCCAGGGAAGATGGAACAAATTATCCTAGGCCAGAAGTATATCATGACAAAGCATGTCCAATGGCTAAAGAGAAACTCTTATCCTCACAAAAAACTGACCAATCCAAACACAGTTCCACCTCCCTCTCAGAGAATCTAAAAAACATTCTGAGAAATCCATTAAACAAGTCTGAGAGTGTTTGTTCTTGTGGTAAAGGTGTAAATAGTGACAAACTAGATTCTGTCTCTGGTGATGAAACTGATGGTCTCAATCTTCATGAAGAGTTAAATAAAGGTAGGCCCGACGAAGCTCATTCCAATGGCGAATCTGGTGATAAATCTATGAATGACAATGTGTTCAGTGATGGTAATAACGGTGATACAGACACAATTGATAATTCTGTAGAGGAGGTGGATAGTAGTGGCAATGGAACAAGAGTGAAATCTAGTCCAAGACTTGATTCCAGAGGGCAGAAAAAATTATCAGTTTCTTTTTCTCTGCCAGAGACTGACACAGTGTCCCCTGGAAAGGAGAAAATTTCTCCAGGGTTAGAAACTTTACTGGACCTTGAAGATACTGGTGTAACAAACACTGATAAAGATAAAGAGCTTGTTGATATTGGAAATGAGCAAGAAAGTGCTAAGTCACAACCAAGTGATAAAACTCAATCTGATGATGAATACTCTTCAAATGGAGATAAAGAAACAAGAATAGGTAACATTGTTTACCTTCCTGTTGAAGAGGACGCAAATGGGGAGGTTACTGTGCAATCAGTGGAGAAAACTGCAAACACATTATCAAAATTAAGTGTTGATGAATTTTCCCAAATTTCTAAGTCTGATACAGACCTTGTTGATAGTGGTTTAAGTATAGAGAATAAAGAAGTGGAGAAAACAAGGTCATCTTCAACCAGTTCTTTAGGGCCATTCAGCCCGACACCTCATCTGAGTGCTTTTGTAAACTATGCAACAGGTTTCTTCCAAAGACATGCTTCAGATAGTAGTATCAAAGACATTAAGGATGTGATAATAGATTCATTACCAGACTTAAAAATGCCCGAGTCAATAATAGATTCTAAGGATAGTAAAGATGAAACAAAATTTGACGTTCCAACAGTGTCAGCTGCTCCAACACCAGCAGGAAGGCGTGGTAAAATGAGTCGTCATGGAAACCTAGCACAACCAGCTGGTAACGTAGCTGTTGAAAATGCAGTTACAATGGATGAAAAACCTGACCTTATGACAATGGATTATGACAGTAAGTAATTTTTACAAGACAGACTGTTTGTTATTGTAGATTAGAGTGATAATGCTAGATTAATTACATGTAGTTTAATTATATGTACTTGTAATTGTAGTTTTATTTATTATAGTATTGTAGGTTCCAATAAAATTTGGATTCAATGAAATTTACTTACACTTGCTTGAGAAAATTTAAAAAATGAAGTTGAAATTCTTACCTGTAATGGACATTTTTCACACTTGTGTTCAAAACCGAGCTATTTTTTTTAAACCCTGTATGTAATGATAAAATATAATCTGTGTGTATATGGTTATGGCTGTAAAACTGCATCTCAACAGGTAATACCAAAGACTGATGTTAAGAATGATGTAAACAATATACTGCTTGTTACTGGTGAGGCAATTGAAGGGGTTATAAAAGACAGTTAAATCACCTGTCAATATAATATGGCTGTATAGAATATATTAACAATTTCGGTAATGGCATGATATTTAAGTGAAGCAGTGGGCTATGAAATGGGGTATTATTATTTTCGCTGCTAAAAGTTTATGAGTCTGAAAATAAAACAGACTCTACCATCAACAGTAAGTTAAATCTGTTTGAAAATACATGAAGGGATATAACTTATTTTTAGTGGGATTTCTTCATTAACTTATAAGGTTAGTTTGCTTTTTTTGTAATCAAAAGTTCTTGATAATTATGAAGTCACTTACTGAATCTCTATCATACTACAGAGCTTATATTAATATAAGGGCAATATAAGAGAGTTATTATTCCCATGCTATGTTAAGAATTATATGAATCTTACACCGGCTGCCGGTACAGACCGGAATATCTAGCTCGAGGGTGACTGTTTACGGCGGAAACGAGGCTCTGCCCAGTGTCCGCTAAACAGTTACCCGAGAGCGAGATATTCCTGTCTACACCGTAGCTGGTATTTGATTCATTTTCTTGCATATTGCACATCAATTATTTTCAGAACAGAAATTACGAAAATTGATATTTTCATTACGCACTTTTTTCTTATAGTAGCGTATGAACTTACAACTTCATTTATAACGGTTAAGTGACGTCATCCTGAGAACGCAGTTTATTCATAAAAGGTGCTCAGCAATGTCATCATTTAAAGCACACGACTAGTCTTACATGGGTGGTGTAAGACAGGTTTTTCTAGCACTGGTGTAAACGGTAGATAATCCTGTCTGAAATGCAAGAAACTACAATATAAACTCTACAGAGTAAAAACCTTTGGGAGACAAAGATTTAGTGGTTGCTAAGAGGTGTAACTTAAGAGAAGTTAGATTGAAAAAGAAGTCATTCTTTAGGCAAAATTGAAACTGTTGTTTCAAAAAGATTACTTGTTCTATAAAATAATGTGTAAATGTTAGATATACTGTAAAATTTCTATTAAACCCCCAGGGGGATAAAAAATTTCAAAGGGGGAAGGAGGGTTATTAAAACACAGTTTTTCCTAAATCCAAAAATAATTATAAATACATTAATTTTGATGTTAAACAAGTTTTTGTAATAACGTTTTAATGTGTAAAGTTCGGGTTCAGCACTGGTGAGCAGATTTTTTTCTTTTCAAAAAACCTAGAGGGGGCCTGAAAAGATGTAAGGGGAGGGGTGTTTAATAGGAATTTCATGGTACCGTTTTATGTTCTTCTTCTATGTTTGAGTGAGGAATTATACTTGTCATGTTAGAATGCTTGGTATATTATATATGTTTTATTGGGTTGTTTAGTTGCAGGTATATCTAGGTGTACCACAAGGAGGTGTTGTATGACTGTTGTTGTTCTGTATAAATAGTTTCTGATCATTTTTGATGCCCTTTTTTCACACATGATGCATGTAAAATGAGTAAAAACTACTTAATTTTTTAAAAATATGGAGCTTAAATGGTTTTACCATTATTTATTGATACCAGAATTAATGCATGAGGTCTTAAGGTAGTATACCACTAATTGGCAATGTAACTTAGTACTAGGAACTGAACAAAAAGATACCATAGTTGAGTTGTATTCTTTAAAGGACACCTGAATAAAAAAAAATGAACAAAATTTTAGTACTGTAGTACAGTTTTGGACTACTGGTTACTTTTCTGAACTTGAGAAATAACTGGAGAAATAACACAGGAATTATGCAATAGTGCAAGTGGTTACTTCTGAAGATCATTGACAACCTGTCTTCCATATTCAGAAGATGACTTTTGTGCTTCTCATTATTAAACTTTGTTGTTTTTGATTTTCATTTTGGCCATATATTGCACAGTTTTGATGTTACTATTGCACAATTCCTTTGTTATTTTGGTTTTACAATCTGATCACAATGTAGTTTTTATTTTTCTTTAAAAAGATGGATCTGAGAGATACTAAGCAATGTTAAAAGGGACAAAAAATAGAAAGACAAAAAAAAGTTGACCAACTGGGGTTTGAACCCAAAACCTTAAGTTTCAATTCAGATGACAATAATTCTATCCTTATTAAAACCACATCAGAGTGGAAGTTATGAGTTAATTAGTATACTACCTTAATGTCCACAAGTATAGCTGGAGAGTCAACTTACAACTCTGAAAGTGAGTTTATGGTCAAGAATTTCAAGTTGAAAAAGATTTTTACATGATGCATGTTATTGACTCTTGTTTCAGTGTTATTTCATTTGCTGTGGAGATGCTTTATACTTAGTGTTAAATTTTCAAAACAAATTTAAATTCTCAGTTGGTTTGACAATGTCTTGCGTTTCAAATAAGTATTTACTTCTTAAACTTAATATAATTATTATTTTCTTCTAATGTATTTAACATATAATTGTTCCAATTAGGGGTTAATAATTTATTCTCAAGTCATGCTTCTATATAGATTCAAACTAGGTTCATACTTTACATATAACTTACTTTAAGGGGCGACCATGCTGAGTGGTGAAGGTTGTTGACCTGCCTCTCACCAATGTAGGCTTGAGACACACCAGCATCTGAAGTCAGTGCTTCTACTCATGTGCCCTTTTAAATGTGCCTGGTATAATGCAGAGATTGGTACCCAGTCTTAAAGGTCTTTCTCTTATCAACTGGAAAGTTGCCATATGACCTAAATGTGTTGGTGCAACATTAATCTCAACCTACAAAATAACTTAGTATATTGGTAAATTACGGATTCAGAAATTTATTATACCCCCACAAACGAAGTTTAGGGGGGGTATATAGGAGTCAGCTTGTCGGTCGGTTGGTTGGTTGGTCGGTCGTCCGTCCGTCGGTCGGTCCACATCATGGTTTCCGGACGATAACTAGAGTTTGGAATGAGGTATTGTAATCAAACTTGGTATATAGCAACCTTATGTGGAAACTCCGGTCGGTATTGCATTTGGGCCCCCTGGGGTCAAGGTCAAGGTCACCATTACTAAAAATAGAAAAATGGTTTCCGGACAATAACTAGAGTTAGGAATGAGATATTGTTATCAAACTTGGCCTATAGCAAGCTTATATAAAGACCTGGGTTGGTATTGCATTTGGGCCCCTTGGGGTCAAGGTCAAGGTCACCATTGCTAAAAATAGAAAAATGGTTTCCGGACAATAACTTATGTAGGAATGAGATACTGTAATCAAACTTGGTTAATAGCAAGCTTATATGAAGACCTGGGTTGGAATTGCATTTGGACCCCCTTGGGTCAAGGTCACCGTTACGAAAAATGGTTTCCAAACAATAACTTGGCTTAGGAATGAGGTATTGTTATCAAACTTGGTGTATAACAAGCTTATATGAAGACCTTGGTTGGTATTGCATTTGGGCCCCCTTGGGTCAAGGTCAAGGTCACCATTACTAAAAATAGAAAAATGGTTTCCGGACAATAACTAGAGTTAGGAATGAGGTATTGTTATCAAACTTGGTGTATAACAAGCTTATATGAAGACCTTGGTTGGTATTGCATTTGGGCCCCCCTGGGGTCAAGGTCAAGGTCATTGTTACGAAAAATAGAAAAATGGTTTTTGGACAATAACTACAGTTAGGAATGAGGTATTGTAATCTTATTTAATGTATAGGAAGCTTATATGAAGACCTGGGTTGGTATTTCATTGGACACCCTAGGGTCAAGGTCACCGTTAAAGTGTTACTAAAAATATAAAAATTGTTTCCGGACAATTACTAGAGTTAGGAATGAGATATTGTAATCAAACTTGGTGTATAGCAAGCTTATTTCGAGACCCCAGTTGCGATTACAGTTAATTGAGATATTTCTTTGTACACAGTTGATAGTTTGTGTTCAAATTTTTCTTCAGACTACTTTTTTTCAAAAAGTCAAAGTTGCTGGTGAGGGTATTAATAACCTTCAGTGATAGGTCTAGTTTATTTACCTTTTTCATAATTATTATATGTCTCTTTTATGTCTTTTTATCATAGTAAATTTTCCTATAAAAATACATTTAATTGTTTTGTGTAGTTTGCCTCTCCATAAATATCAGTGTATGCATAGATCCCTGACCTCAGTCTTATTCTAATTATCAGATTAGTGGATACAATAAGAATTTCACCATAGCATACTTGTTAAGAAAAGAGCACAATGTCAATGTTTGTGGTTAAATCTATTGTTATTCAAATGAAAAGTCATAGTAGGGATCTATCTATTAACAGATAGTAAACATGTCTCAAAAATATTTTTCTTGGAAACTACAAGGTCAAGAACAAAGATATTTGACACCTTGTGGTCTTCTAAAGAAGTTACATAAATCATGCTGAAAGTAATAGTCATAATTGATCCTATCCCACAAATATAAGTCTTCTTGAGTGCATCAATAAATATTTTATACTTTATGCAACTTAGGTCAAAAATTGCACACCCAATATGATTTAGTTACCTAATTCTGCATTGAAGACTTATGACTTTTTCTTAGCAGTATATCTCAGGTGAGCAATATAGGGACATCATTACCCTTTTGTTTCTTGTAGTTTGGTGTCATTTCTATTTTTGCAAGCTTTTCTAATGCTCTGTACCCAGAATACAGACATGGTTTCAGTTGTGTGTATTTTAATAATCTGTGTCAGATCTAAAAAGGTTTTATATATCAAGTATTAAATAAATTGTCACTGTATTAGACATTTTGATATAGAAATTATTTTGATAACTTATAATTTGCCATATAATCAGAAATTATAAATGTTATATTCTGCAAAATTTGACTACAAGTTCACTTTGCTAAAAAGTTTTTTTCCATTTTTCCTATTTATCCTTGCTTTTAAAGTTTGCTTTTAAAATCTCTGTAGGAAAAATAAGTAACTACTTTATTAAAGGTGAACCATATTTCTATAGTTATGTAGTGTTCTCAAATTAAGACATTATTTTTCAGAATTTGCTCCACGCAAGTCTCAGGCGTACCCGGACCCACCTCTGTATCTATGCTTGCGCCTCGGCACCCCACAGAACAAGAATGTCTTCCATAACTACTCTATAGAGTCTTATGGCAGGAGAAGAAAGAAGTCAGAGTACTGGTTCTCTATTCCTAGAGAGAAGTAAGCGTATTCTTTCATTTAGATTTTTTAACCCTTATCATGCTGGAATAGAAACTGATTTCCCTCTGCCACCAGTGTGACAAGGCTCTACACAGTTAATAATTTATAATTTTCGTATTTTGATATTGAAATGAGCCGTGTCATGAAAAATCCAACATAGTGCGTTTACGACCAGCATGGATCCAGACCAGCCTGCGCATCCATGCAGTCTGATCAGGATCCATGCTGTACGCTTACAAACCCTACAAGTAGATAAACTGATAGTGAACAGCATGGATCCTGATCAGACTGCGCAGATTCGCAGGTTGGTCTGGATCCATGCTGGTCGCAAACCCATTATGTTTGTTTTGTCATGACACGGCTCAAATACCTATAACTCATAGTAATGGAACTGTTACTTATTCAAAACTTGGCAAATCCATTTTACAAATTAAGCAGGTTAAAAGGTATCTTCTTAGCTTGTGATATATGAATTTTATTTTTATGAACATGGAAACTTAACATGCTTCAACATAAAGATCAACATTTATGTCTTGATGTATTTTTGTCTGAAAGCCTCAAGTTGCAAATGTCTGAAATTGTCTCTGGCGGTCAACCTAGACAATGAACTAACATTTTCATTGTAAGAACAACACAGTTGTCAATTCTTTGTATACATCTAGGAAGTCAAATTATAATGCATTACAAAACATATTTTTCTAAGAATATGAATGTAATGAAAAGAAAAGAGACATTTAGAAATTCAGTTGTCATTTAAAATCATGTGTATGTTGCAAATGAAGTCATGTTTTAAGATGATCTTTAAAGGTATTAATATTATAAATTGGTAAGGATCTTATGTAATTAATCTTAAGTAATTATGAAGAGTATTATACATGTAAGTAGCATTATACATGTTATATAAGTCATTTATTTAAATAAACATGCCACCTGCTGGTATAGAAATGGATTTGGCTTTGCCACAAATATAGAGCCAGGCTAGCCTGCACAGTTATGTAGCTTGACCAGGCTCTATACTTGTATACTTGCCTATAATTGTCTAACAAGCTTTTCAAACTTTCATTTTGATATCCATAAAGTTGATTATGGACAGAGCTAAAAATGGAAGCTGAACAAGTTTATTAAAAATCTGTCAAGGTTTAGAACTGTTCACTATTAAGGGGAGAAGATGTGTAAGCGGCCGGATAGCTCAGTTGGTAGAGGGGCGGTATGGTATTCCCAGGGTCCCGGGTTCGAGTCCTGGTCAGGCTGCACATTTTTCGCATAGGGGGAACATGACTGATATAGCTCAGAGTTTAATTTACATTGCTCTGTAACTCTGTGAAATTCGAGGACGAATTTCAAAATAGCAGGGGAGTATGCATGGTTCAGAACTGTACACTATATAGGGGAGAAGATTAGTGTAAGCGGCCTGATAGCTCAGTCGGTAGAGCCGTGGAACGGTATTCCAAGGGTCCCGAGTTTGAGTCCCAGTCAGGCTGCACATTTTTCTCACCCTGTGACAAATCTTTAGCAGGTTAAGCATTTATTTAGAATACCATAACATAATTGAATATGGAAATAGGTCATGGCCTTACATGTATATTATTAGCTTGTCTGTTTCAGTTTCAAATAAAAAAAGTAAAACTATTATGATCACTACGCATTTGTTGCTGTTGTTGTAATGCAATAACTTTAATCTGGTCTATTATTCAAACATAATAAAAATTATCAACATGAAACTTAGAATATTTGCTGAACTTGACAAGATGCAGTTGTTAGACAAGGGATACTATTCTGAAAGCTATGTTTTGGAGGTATGCCCCCTTTTAACTAATAATATTGTTGAAAATGGTTATTTTTACAGACGAGAATTAAGACGGCATGCAGTGCTCTTCTTATAAAACATATATCATATTTGCTGTATTTCTATTAATAGAGTTGACCACCTGTATGCATTTTTTGTGCAATGGACGCCAGAAATATACGGTGATGAGGAGGAGATAACTCCTGAAAAACGAGGTTTTGTTGTAATAGAGGACGACGAAAGTGAAGACCTTGAGATGTTAGATGAACACTTTGGTCCTAACTCAACATTTGCCAAAGATTGGGAGGTATGATTTGCTCTATGTTTATTAACCCTATTTGATTCCGTAGTTAGAGGGCAAAGTGTTCCCTTACATTTGTATGATAATTCTAAAAGGAAGCTAAAGCTTTCGTAGAAAAGTTATTTTAAAAAGCAAATCAGTCCATAAGTTTTGCCTCATAGACTAGACAATGTTTAATCATTATACGTAGTTTTCCCATTTAAGGTCGAAATATATACTTTTAACATTTTTATGTTGGGAAAGGCATATAGATTTGCCCTCTTCTGTCCATCCACCCATCATACAGTCGGTCTTAGGACTTGTCAATGAAGTAAAATTTGGGGGCATCAATGTCGTATGGACATATTTATAGTTTACATATATACTTTAAGAAAAGAAAATTCTGTATTTAGTGGATTAAGAAGATTTATGATTTTTGTTTAGACAGAAAGCAATAAAAGAATAATTTGGTGTTTCAGTTATAATCAGTTGACTAACAATTAATTTTTTTAGTTTGTTCAAAAGGACGAGGTTTGGAAAATACTAAAAAATTATAATTCCTTTATACGATTCACCTGCTTTGATGCACCAAAGCCCACTCCCACCAACATCTACCCCAACACCCCTCCAACACCCACCCATCAATACTTTTCACTCTCACTGCTCCATAAGCCCATCCACCTCCTCTCCCAACACTCTGACTTCCCCTAACCCAACACTTGATTTGGACTGAACTTACTTACCTGCTTACTATGAAGATTAGGAGAGTTTACTGCATTCACTGATATTCTTTCCAAATTATTATGTATGTATGTATAACAACATCCTTAGCTCACAAAAGAAGAAAGTGCTTAAGGTGAGCTATTGTGATACCCTTGTGTCCAGCGTCTGTCAGTCGTTGTCAGTTGTCCTTTTAACAATATCTTTTCCTCAACAATTAGGAAGATTTTGTTGAAACTATAAAGGAATGATCAAGTGGTCCTCTATAAAAATTGCACATATGGTTCCAGCTGGGTGAACAAGGTGGCCGCAGGACCTAAAATAGAAGAAGAAAAAATTTAAAGCAATATCTCCACAACCACTTGGTAGATTTTGATGTAATTGTGCAGCAATGATCATTTGAGTTTGTCCTTAACAAGAATTGCTCAAATGGTTATGGTCTGTTGAACAACATAGCCACCAGAGCTAAAAATAGAAAACCTTTAAACAACATCTCCTTCTCAACCACTTGTTGATTTAATTGGTTTATACAGAATTTATTTCAGTTCGATTGTGTAGGAAGCTATAAGCTTATAGACACACTTTTGAATCCGTTCCTGGAACCAACCAGTACTGAGAGTGTAAAGTTTCTTGCTCAAGGAAACAATGACTTGCCCCTGACTGGGTTTGAACCCATACAGCTAGCGATCATTAGATTACTAGTCCGACGCGTTAACCACTCGGCCATGCCGCCACACTGATTTAATTGAAATTGGATGGAAATGATCATCAGAAAGTCCTTTACATTATTTGTTCAAATGGTTCCAGTCTGTTGTTTAAGGAATATCCTAGTTTTTAAATCTTGTCCATGTAGACCATATCCCCTGGTGATGGATTAATGGCCATTAAGGCCCTCTCATTTAAAGCATTATCAAACAAGGCATCATAAACTCTCATTGCTGATTTTTTTGCTGGCATTAAATGTCTTGTCCTTGAGTGCTTAAAATTCCAACCTACCAGTAACTATAGTTGTTTCAGATGGGAAAGCTATAAACCAGCATGCTTGCAGAATATACCTGCTAATACCTGAAATAATGTACAAAAATAAACACCTGTTGTCTTCCGTCACTAGTAATAGCTTAAGTGTTACAATAGCACATCAGAGAACATTAATAATATAATACAATCTTATATAATACAGATGATTAATAAAAGACAAAGGGTAAGATCTAAGTAAAGTGTGTTTATAACATTAGAAGTGTTTGTGCTTAAGATATTAACAATTCTGCTGTGAATTTATTTAATTATATCTCCTCCTTTTGGGTAAGTAAGGGATCTTTGGTGAGCTAGTAAGGGGTCTTTGGTGAGCTAGTAAAGGGTTTTTGTTGAGCTAATAATGAGTCTTTGGTGAGTTTGTAAAGGGTCTATGGTGAGCAAGTAATGGGTCTTTGCTGAGGTAGTCTTAAAGGGGTCTTTGGTGAGCTAGGCTTAAAGGGGCCTTTAGTGAGCTTGCAAGGGGTCTTAAGCTAGTAAAGGGCCTTTGTTAAGCTAGTAAAGGGCCTTTGTTAAGCTTGTAAGAGATCTTTGGTCAGCTAGTAACAGGTGTTCGGTGAGCCAGTAAGGGGTATTTGGTGAGCTTATTAAGGGGTCTTTGCCAAGCTAGTAAAGGGTCCTTGGTGAGCTAGTAAAGGGCCTTTGGTGAGCTAGTAAAGGTTTTTTTTGTGAGCTAGTAAAGGGTCTTTTGTGAGCTAGTAAAGGGCCTTTGGTGAGCTAGTAAAGGGTTTTTTTGTGAGCTAGTAAAGGGTCTTTTGTGAGCTAGTAAAGGTTTTTTTTGTGAGCTAGTAAAGGGTCTTTTGTGAGCTAGTAAAGGGCCTTTGGTGAGCTAGTAAAGGTTTTTTTTGTGAGCTAGTAAAGGGTCTTTGGTGAGCTAGTAAAGGGCCTTTGGTGAGCTAGTAAAGGGCCTTTGGTGAGCTAGTAAAGGGCCTTTGGTGAGCTAGTAAAGGTTTTTTTTGTGAGCTAGTAAAGGGTCTTTTGTGAGCTAGTAAAGGAACTTTGGTGAGCTAGTAAGGGGAATTAGGTGAGGAAGTAAAGGGCCTTTGGTCTTTGGTGAACAAGTAAAGGGCTTTTGGTGAACAAGTAAGGGGCCATTGGTGAACAAGTAAGGATCTTTGGTAAACAAGTAAGGGTCTTTGGTTGGCAAGTTAAAGTGCTTTGAAAATAAGAAAGGGGGCCATTCTGAGCTAGTAAAAATGTCATAAGAAAGTAAGGGGTTCTGTGGTGAGCAAGTAAAAGGGCTTTTGTAAGTATGTTAAAGGGCTTTGTGAATAAGATAGCTTTTGTGAATACCCCGTCACGGTGCTTTTGTAAAGATTGCTAGTTAAGGGGCTTTTGTGAGCTTAGTACAGTGCTGACTGATGACATTTATTTAAAATTAAATCATTATTAAATAAACCTTTACACTGTCTTTTTTACTATTCACTGTTTTGCTTATTTATAGCCACTGCACAACAAGAGTTGTAAGGGAGTATACTGGTTTGATGCTGTCTGTCAGTATGGCTGACTGGTTGTCTGTGTGCCTTTGTTTTTAACCATTTAACAGCTTTTAATAAAACTGGACAGAAATAATTGTCATAATGTATACTTTGGGCATTTGACCTTGAACCATAAATGACATTGACCTGACCTTCCAGGTTAACTCCTTAAAATTTGCTGAAAGTTGGCATAATTGGCTACAACTTTGTTCTTAAATAATGTATTTATATCATCCCTTTTAACATTACCTTCAGGTAGGTCAAAATCAAATGACTTTTACTTTTGTATTATTGAAGCTATTTAGCAGGGTATTAACAAATAAAACATACAGCATATTATTTAAGAAGTACATGTATTACTCTTTAACAAAACATGTGTAATGTAAATAATAATAAAAACATAAATGTAATTGTTGGAAAACAAAGGAAGGCATGTGATAGTGTTATTATTTCCCTTAGTGTAAAAATCAGTGGCTTGTACATCAGCTTTGGTGCTGGTTCTATTGTTACAGTAAAGAATTTAAAACCAGAAGATTGATGATGCTATAAAGGTTAAATTGATATTTTATTACCTATAGAATCATATTTTCAACACAATTCAAAACATGTATTCTCATTTTAATGCAGATTATTGTCTGACATGACACTGGTAGATATTGTAAGCCAGTGTATGTATTGTCATGGTTACCGTCATTTGAAATACCTAAGATTTTCCACTCAATGAGGGATTTGAACTTGCACCATCAAGCATACAAACTGAAATAAATGCAAATTTCTAAGACCACTGAGCAAAAGAATAGATTTTTCTGACTCATTTGCCATAGCAATCAAAGTAAGTGTGTGCACTTATATGTAACAATGTGCTTTCCTCACTTGATGCTTTTGTTATAGTATGATACTTATTCATATCATGTTACAGATAATCAGTCAAAGTGAGGCCATTAAGAGACGATCTATTGTATATGAGGAGCCTATACCCTTACCAGAGCTTATTGGCGAGTCAACAATACTTAAAGAGTTTCATATCAGTGAGGTATGTGAAATAATTCAGAAATTTTATTCAATTTCTTAAAATACTTTTAAATCATAGTTCTTTAAGCTTGACTTGGAAAAATAGTTGAGCTAATCTACTCTCCTGTGTGACAGTGTTTCACTCAAGTTAAAGTTTTTGTATATGCATTTTCTTAAAGAATTATTAAACATCATAACTCATAAGCCACTAAGAAAATTCCTGGTTAACGTTTAGCATCCAATGTTTATCTTCAAAACTACTAAAGGTATTCTCTTAAAACTTAATGCATGTGTTCAAGATCATATTAATTAGAGGTCACTGTCCAAAGCACATTACTGTAGCATTTTTAACTAAATTATGGCGCCTTTTTAACTTCTTGGTTAAAGTTTTGCATGCAAGATAATTTCAGAAACTACTGAAACCTTATAAATGTCTCTGACTTCAGGATCATAATTAAAGGTCACTGTCCAAGGCCTATTATTGGGAGACAAAGATTTTGGTGGTTAAAGAGTAAATGACTTCAAATTGAAAACAGGACTGTTCCATTTCATTGAATTAAGCAGGTGTTTATAAATAACATCTCCCCCACTTTGATGTTAATCTGAATACACGGACATGTAACTGATGCAAATGATGAGAAATAAATCAAATATTTTTCATTACAGCTTTGTCAAGTAATGCCTGGAAGAACTGTAGGCTACCCTTGGACATTGATCTACAGTACAGACAAACATGGCTTCTCACTGAAGACATTGTATAGAGATATGGTCGGGTTAGAGTCACCTATACTTATTGCTGTCAAAGATACCAATGACAATGTAAGTTGTTATTGTATCATAGTTTGGGGACCTTTCTGTTGAAAATGTATCAAGAGTTAAATCGTATACATATACATGCACAGTGCGTTAACTGGAGTGCAGGTATTAGTTACCCGCACTCCAGAGCATGCCCATTGATTGGCTCATTTTTTGCTGGGGTTTACTTATTGTGACGGCAGAGAAAAGGAAAGCTATAGAAATATCACATTCAGATGCTCGTCCTTTGGTCACTTTTATCTGGGGTTTCATATTATGACAACAGGGAACAAGTTTTTATGTTTGACTATGATACAAAAGAGAAAGAACATCAAAACACTCCGCAATCTGATTAATACTTGGGGGGCTACAGGCTACATCCCCTCGTACAAATCAGATAGCCTTGTGTTTTGATGCTCTTTCTATTACTTATGACATTATCTACAATGTTCATGTCTAGGAGGTGTCTGTGGCCAAGTGGTAGAGGTTATTCAAGCCACTTGCCCCTCACCTCTGTGGGTTTGAATCCTGACAGGGACTTTGGATTTTACCTTATGAGGAAGATATTGGGCCAGCTTTTAGAATGGCTGTGGTTCTACTCAGGTGCAGAAATCATTCCACATTTAATTTTCAGATATTCGGAGCATTGACGTCCTGCCAGTTGAAGTACAGTGACAGTTTTTATGGTACGGGAGAAACATTCTTGTTCACATTTTACCCAGAATTCAAAGTGTTCAACTGGACTGGAGAGAATAACTTCTTCATTAAAGGAAACCAAGAAAGCCTCAGCATAGGAGCTGGGCAGTAAGTCAATGTTATAATATGAAACTCAGCAATATATCATTTTTCAATATTCAATGTATCCTTATGCCTTGGCTGAAACCTTTAATTTGAGGGGAAATGCATAAGTGTTCACCTTAGTGCAGTAATGAATTTTAAAGAAGTTGACTGTTACTGCACTAAGAAGACAAGCTTTGTGCAACACTTTATGATGAAATATACAGTAATCCTACGTGTACAAGGTTTTTTTTTAGTTTTAATATACAGTTAAAAAATGCAAAGATTCCTGTGTTGTAAATAGAGGATATTGAATGAGTGTAGGTTTAATACTAAATTTATTGAACAAGTTGAATAAAATCATATTAGGCGAGCCTCTGGCGAGCATAATATAATTTAATTCAACAAGTTCAATGAATCAAGTAATGAAGCTACACGTATATAATATTCTTTTATCACATATATAAAATAAGAACGGTAAACTGTAAACAAAAGTCATTTTTCTTTGACGCGCCGATAGTGTAACGCTAACATTAGCGCGCTTTAACGCTATGTTTATAGCGCAAATTACGTGACGTCAAAGTGTTATAACACTAGTGTAATATTGACTAGTGTAATATCGTTTTTATTAAATGGCTTTATTACACTCCTGCGCCGCGGTTTATGTGATAAAAGGTTGTTTTACATGTGATATAGGA